GATAACAGGATCACATCATTAGGAGAATGATGTGATGGACAAGACCCAATCCTAAGCCTAGCACAAGATCATGTAGTTCGTATGCTAAAGCTTTTCCAATGTCAAGTATCATTTCCTTAGACCATGATATTATGCAACTCCCGGATACCGTAGGAGTGCTTTGGGTGTGCCAAACGTCACAACGTAACTGGGTGGCTATAAAGGTACACTACAGGTATCTCTGAAAGTGTTTGTTGGGTTGGCACGAATCGAGACTGGGATTTGTCACTCCGTGTAAATGGAGAGGTATCTCTGGGCCCACTCGGTAGGACATCATCATAATGTGCACAATGTGATCAAGGAGTTGATCACGGGATGATGTGTTACGGAACGAGTAAAGAGACTTGCCGATAACGAGATTGAACAAGGTATCAGGATACCGACGATCGAATGTCGGGCAAGTATCGTACCGATAGACAAAGGGAATTGTATACGGGATTGATTAAGTCCTTGACATCATGGTTCATCCGATGAGATCATCGTGGAGCGTGTGGGAGCCAGCATGGGTATCCAGATCCCGATGTTGGTTATTGACCGGAGAGTTGTCTCGGCCATGTCTACATGGTTCCCGAACCCGTAGGGTCTACACACTTAAGGTTCGATGACGCTAGGGTTATAGGGAATAGATATACGTGGTTACCGAATGTTGTTCGGAGTCCCGAATGAGATCCCGGACGTCACGAGGAGTTCCGGAATGGTCCGGAGGTAAAAATTTATATATGGGAAGTCCTGTTTTGGTCGCCGGAAAAGTTTCGGGTTTTATCGGTAATGTACCGGGACCACCGGGAGGGTCCCGGTGGTCCACCAAGTGGGGCCACCAGCCCCGGAGGGCTGCATGGGCCAAGTGTGGGAGGGAACCAGCCCCAGGTGGGCTGGTGCGCCCCCCCCACCAAGGCCCAAGGCGCAAGGGAGAGTGGAAGGGGGCAAACCCTAGGCTCAGATGGGCCTAAGGCCCACCTAGTGGTGCGCCCCCCCTCTCACCCCCCTTGGCCGCCCCCCCTAGATGGGATCTAGGGCTGGCCGCCACCCCTAGGGGTGGAAACCTAGGTGGGTGCGCAGCCCCTCCCCTCCCCCTATATATACTTGAGGTTTTGGGCTGCCAGAGACACGATTCAATCTCCTTCTTGGCACAGCCCTACCCCTCTCCCTCCTCGTCTCTTGCGGTGCTTGGCGAAGCCCTGCTGGAGTACCACGCTCCTCCACCACCACCACGCCGTCGTGCTGCTGCTGGATGGAGTCTTCCCCAACCTCTCCTTCTCCCCTTGCTGGATCAAGGCGTAGGGGACGTCACCGGGCTGTACGTGTGTTGAACACGGAGGTGCCGTCCGTTCGGCACTAGGATCATCGGTGATTTGGATCACGACGAGTACGACTCCATCAACCCTGTTCACTTGAACGCTTCCGCTTAGCGATCTACAAGGGTATGTAGATGCACTCTCCTTCCCCTCGTTGCTAGATTACTCCATAGATTGATCTTGGTGATGCGTAGAAAATTTTGAATTTCTGCTACGTTCCCCAACACTCCTGTGGGGCGACCGAAGATGAGGTCTCCCCTCCGGCAACATGTGAGGAGAGATGGTGGTCTCTTCTCCGTCCTTGGCTCTTGCTGCCCTGAATCTTGCGACGGTGCTCATTCCTGCGGTGGCGGCCCTATCACCCTCCATCTGGTGCGTCTCTACGGCCTCTTCTCATGTTGATCCTCTGCGGCTTGGAGTTCATCTTCGACTTGATCCTGTAATTTTCTTTAGTGGCAGTTGTGTGTGACCTTCTCTCTACTCAGCATCTTGGTCTAACCGCCTTCTCTTCTCTCTTGTATCAAGTCTGTACCAATGTTTGCAACACCATTGTATCCCCTAGGCAGTTGATGGCTTCATTAATTTTAAGTCGGGTATGATGCCTTTTCTCTAAAAAAAGCCACTGTCTCTAAACTATGTATGACAGGGTTTGTTTTTACATATTTTTCTGACGATATATCTCATACTATGACATACAATTCTGTCTAGAAACCATACTAATGTGAGACATACAATTCTGTCTAGAAACCATACTAATATGAATCGATCATGTTGTGTCGCGAGTCGACATCTAGTGCAAGGCCTCGAGGCGAGCTGGAAATGGAATTCAAGAAGAAGAAAGAAGAGTTGTTTGATTTGCTCATAGAGGTGAAAATAGCAGAACTTTACCCACAATCAGTGGCGAATGAACTGGGCAGGCTTTAATAGGCTTGAGCCTGCCCTCCAGCAATGAAAAAAGGAAATTAGTAGTTAATAGTACATGTTCCTAGTAGTATTATGGCAAATTCTAGCCTTCTTTGAACAACAGAATTGAGACTTGATGGCTTTTTCTTCACGCCATTGACTTTGAGCCTGCCCTTGATTTTCCTCCAAAATTCGCCACTGCCCACAATTGTCCTGCCCACAATTGTCCTGGAAAGACATCCAAATTCATCGGCTGATCACTCAACTTGCTCAAGTGGAGCCTAGACCTCATGATCCCATTTGGTATAATCTCAACATACGCATGCATAACTATGCTCTATTCCCACCACCCTTTTTCTGTTTTTGAGTTTTGTCTGTTGTTTCTCACCCCGCATGCAGGCGTAGGTTTCGAGGAACAAGAAGACTCAATGATTTTACCAGTATATACACCATTCTGGGATTTTTGGTCTGCTCTCCTACAACGTGGTATCTGTCATGAAAGAAGATGGCGCTACAAGCAAGAACTATGAAGCCAATTTCGTCTCTGAGCCAAAGAATGACATGAAGTAGCTTTATATATTAGATAGAAGTCTAGAAAATCTCCTGAGCGTTGTAGTTATTAGGGACTTATTGGGGGATATTCATTGGGAAGTTATTGAAGATGCTCTAAAAGAATCCACGTGTTGCTCGATGGAGAAGATCCTTCCATTGGAAGCCATGCGTTTTTTTCTTTGAAAAGGAACAATTCTATTATAAAGATGGTACTCCCATCAATTCATATTACTTGTCTTAGATTTGCTTAGATACACATGTACCTAGACACGTTAGATACATCCGTATCTAGATAAATCTAAGACAAGTAATATGGATCGAAGAGAGTACAAAGCATCTTAAACATAATAAAATTTACATTGAGCTTTTAAGACCACCGAACAACCACTACTGCCGTCAAAACGAGTCACCGACGTGTCGTTGTCACCGCTCCCCTACCGGAATCGTCCGGGAAGTCTTCGTACATGTGCCCGTAAGGACCAGCGCCCTGGAGCCTTGCATAGATCTGAAGCACCTGACACCAAATCTCACCACATGACAAGAAACCCTAACCTCACAGTCCTAAGGAGGCGACATGAATCTATGTCGGAGCTTCGTTGACTACATCCAGAAAGACAAACTAGAGGAGGATCGAAGCCCGAAAGACAGACTCGAAGAAGAACTGGTACCATCTACCCGAACATTGGGCTTGCGTGGACTAAAAAAGCCTAACCTAAACTACTAATCAGAGCGAAGTAACCGGGATCCCCCCCCCCACCCCGTCACCATCCGCCAGAGCGGCAGGCAGAGGGAAGGCGAATCCACGTTCTCGCCGGTGAAGCCTGGAGGGGAGAGTTTGCCCTAGCATCCTAGAGTTAGGGGAGGAAAACGAGAGGAAGTCTTTTAAGCTCGATTTGGAAGCCATGCTGATCCGACAATTATAGAAACTAACACAATTTATCCATAAATAACATGCAAATATCGTTCAAATGTGAATATTACATCTGAGATAACTGTATGTTCAACAAGTTTTTCAAATTCTTCGATTTCAAATTCAACGACACTAGAGTCAGGGCCGGCACATCTCGTCCCACACATACTGCCCCTTGAGATTCATCCAACACTGTATGTGCGTGAATGGCTTGCCCTTGGTCCTGTAGTACATCACATCACTGCAACGCGAGCATGCTATACAATATATATAGCAACATTGAGTGAATGAATGAATTAGCCAACATATAGAGCAACATGAAGGAAATATTACGATCTCTATGGTTGACGAGCCCAATGGCCACATTGTCTCCACTCAGTGAATTATAGGGTCATGGATGATGTGCATGTCGCAGGGTGCGAAATTCTTTTGCTCATGAAATGAAGCATGCACGCGCTGCCAAAAGAGTGAGCCCCTTGAGTTCCTGCCTACAAGTTCAAAAATGTGACCAACCACACATAGCATAGAAACTCATTCTCCATCATCGAGTACGCCGCCAAATTACTCTAGAAAACGACGAGAAGTTCAACAAAAGAGCTCAATCGCATTTGACCAAACACCTTCGGGCATGGTGTCCATCATGGATGTCGTCGATCGGGGGAGGGTACTTGGCTGCGAAGGGATCCTGGGTGGACGACGGCGTAGTCCAAGGCAGGTAGGCGCGTTGCTAGGGGCCGTGGATATCCTACAATGCCAGCGTGGCAGCCGAAGAGGTACATCGGCGATGTCGGATGAGGAGGGTGCGGATGCAAAGAAGGAGGGAGCAGGCAGTGGCTGAGTGAAAGAAAAGTGAACCGAGAGGACTTAAGTGGGTCGGGCATGTCTCGCAATGCCCCCCAAACTTTGCCTCCTATTTATGGGCAAACGGACTTTTGACCGGCCCGCGAACCAATAGAATACCCATGTTGGATGATAAAGTACGTCCTCGTCACTTGGCACAGACAGATGCAGATGGGTTGAGGGGCGGCGCTGAAGATGTCCTAAACCATAACTAGCGATTTCGTCCAAAAAATACTTCAGCGGGGAGGGCTTGCTCGTGTCTGCTGGGCCACGTTTGTTGCCTCGGTGCAGCGTGCCAGGCCCAGGCCCGGCTACTGCCGCTTGCCATCTCTCCCGCGGTGGTCTACAACCCAATCCGCGTGAAGGGAAGGAATCAAGCAGGAGGAAGGGAGAGACAGAGGAGAGAAAGAACCCCCAACAAGAAGAGAGTCGCCGCCGGCGGAAGGGAATCAAGCAAGAAGATGACTCATATCCTCCCCATCTCCCATCACAATTTGGATCTGTGAATTACTGTTTGCTATTGCTATATTCCTTGTTCGTCATGCTCGATCTGTTTCCTCCTTGACTTTCTTCTCTGCGGGCGGGCACGGGGCAGCCAGAGGGAGCGCGACCGCGAGCGCGCCGCGGCGCGGAAGCCCAACTCCAAGAACGGCGGCGACGGCCTCACCCCGGAGCAGCGCCGCGAGAGGTTCGCCCCCTTCCCCTTCCCTTATCTTTCCCGATCGGATCCAATCCGCCGCGCCACGGTCGACTGAATTGATCGAATCTTGGCCTGACTGACGCCGATCCGCAGGGACAAGAAGGCGCTGGAGGAGAAGAACGCCAAGAAGGCGGCGCAGGCCTCCGGGAGCACCTCCACGGACGCCAAGGGCAAGGACGCCAAGAAGTAGTAGGAGAGGCGCCGCCGGATCCCGTCCCCGCCACCGGGACGGGACGCCGGCGCCACGACGATTGCCATGCGTTTGTACCCTGTTTGCTCGCAGCATCTGCGGATCCTTGTGCCTTAATCGTGTATGCTTGGTTAAAACTGTCGTTGGCTGCAAATCTTTGTTGCATGAGTTTGTTGTACTCTGATCAAATCCTCAACTCGTGATGATAATAATGATAATAAGCAGCAGTGTTCACTCTTAAGTTATTTCTTACCGCCTCTCTTTCGTTGCGGCCTTGCTATCTTGTGTAATCTTGTAGTCCAGGCTAAGATTGCGATTATGGTAAGTTGTAATGCAGTCCTGAATCCCGTTCTAATTCTATCTATTGCTATTGTTCTGGTTGGTCGCTCACTCTACGATGTTTTGCTGCCACACTTTGGCCGTTATTTTGCTAACTTGTTGAATCTTTTTACGTGATACTATCAGGATTAGATTGTGATTGTAATGAAAACTGTACTCTGGACCCTAAACCAAGCACTGGGAAATTGGGGAAATGGAAATGGCCGTAATGCAGTCCTGAACCTGGTTCTACTCTGTTTTGGCTGGCTGTAATGCTATCGTATTGCTATTGTCATACTATAAATAAATGATGCTACAATGTTGATCATTCTTAGATAGAGAGTCTCAGACCGCAGAAGATGTTGTGCATATTCCATTGCTGCATATTGTTATTTATGCTTTGAGAGTAGAGACTACTGGGACTGCTCATGTGTAATATATGCATCTGTGTTTCAAACTCTACAGCTTGACTGGGAGATGGACTTAGCAGCCTACCAGGTCCTTGGCTGAATCTTGTACTGGCTACATTATTTACTACTATGAAGCTGCACTCCTTTAGAACTTCATCAATTTTTTCTTGGCATCACAATTGAGTTAAGCTAGGTTCTGGTGCACACCATATGGTCTGTCATGCTCACTGCTGTTGGAACAATATTCTGATTTTTTAGGACAGAAACAATGGAGGCTGAAAAATCAGTTATATGAGTTACATAGTTCCGTTCTCTAGGTTTGGGTTTTTATTCCACTGCTTCTCTGTATGTTCTCTGCTCTGCAATCTATTTCATTGTCGAGGTATTTGTGTTCCAGTCACATATATCTGTTGTGTAATCAGTTGGTGAGAGCTAGAACTAGTTTGTGTTATCCCAACATTTTTTTCAGTGTCACCAGTCACCACCTGCACATGTGAAGTCCTGCACAACTTAGTGGAGAGAGAGAGAACCATGTGAAGGTACAAATTTGCTTAATGTTCCTTTTATAAATTGTTACTTTGCTTGTATAATACTATCATTCAACATTTTCTTTCCTTTCTAGGTTTGCTGGGACATCCTGCTTTATCTTTGCCAAAATATTTCTACTTGCTGTACTGTCCAACTCAAATTTGAATTATGCTCCAATCTGTACTTCAGTAAAAAATGCAAGTTCACCAAGTTCTGCTGATTGCTTAACGCATACATGCATTGTTAAGAACTTGAGAAACTGACTTGATGCCGTTCCCGCTGTATCGAGCAAGTACACTCGAAATTAATTCTGGACCGACAACATCACTACAGCAAAATGACTGTAAATATATTGGATGGCCGGAGGTGTTTCATGTTCTATTGTCTCCAATTGGTTGTGAATCAATTTTCTGAAAGGGCATTGTGCATGAGTCATTTCCAGTTTCTACTGTACTATCATTGTCGCATGTTCTAGTTCAAGGGGGTGTCCTAGTTTGCGTAATTGTCCCTTTAGTTTAGTCCTCTAGCTGTTCTGGGTACCATTACCCTTTTTGTCCAATAGAGTATAAAAGGAAGCAGTGCTGCTGTTTGCGAAATCTGTACTTTTGATAGCAATTGTTCAAATCCTGTTTATCTTTGACAGTATAAGTTACTTATGCTTACAGTTATGTTCATGTGATATCACCCTTTAGCTTACCGTTTATCTATTTACCTATCCATGTGCCAGAACCATGACTTGGTTTTGATTTATTATGGGTTTCAACTGTAGCCTACCCCAACTTGTTTGGGGCTGAATCTATTTTCAGAAAAGGAAGCAGTGATGCTGTACGTGAAGTCTGTACTTTTGATATCAGTTTAAATTCTGTAGCTTTGGGGTGTATCCAGCATCGACAAAATATGAAGTGATTTTTTTTATGGGCAAACAGTAGGGGAATCCCCTATGTTATAATTTTCATCAAGTACAGCGAGTACAAGGATTTTACATACATTCCTCTGTTTCCAAATGTTCCACAAGGCAGAAGAAATGATTCCCATGAAGCAAAGGGCCATTGAACTCATCCTTTGCAGATTTAAGCAGAGCCATAATGTCCGAACCCACCCCCACCCCCATTGGATGTTGATGCTTCTCCAGCATCGCTGAGTGAACCTGCAGTTAAAGAACAGGCGGTCTCTAGTCTCTCTGGTTCTGATTTGGCAGAGAGCACAATTTACCCCAGACTCGATCGTCCAATGTCGTCGATCCATCATACTATATCTCATGTTAAGCCGATCGACAGTTAAAAGCCACATGAATACCTTCTGCTAGCACTTGCTTTTCCACATAAGATCATACAATGGACAAACCTCAAGGCAGGAAACATCAATTGGTAGTATCCCGCGGAAGAGAGACTTCCCGATGGAGTGCGCTTAAACGACCAAATATCTAGCTGGGCATCAGACTGAGACTCAATGCGCAGCTCCACCAAAAATGTATGAAGTTCCACATGAATAATAACTGTTTTTTGAAGTTTGATCATGCACATAAAGAATGTTGGTAGGGTAGAAAGAACAGAGTTTACGTAGGTCAGTCGACCAGCATAATTGAGAAACTTTGAAGCAGCATCAAGTCGCCTCTCCAACGTGCTAACCAGTGGTTAACAGCTCATTGATTCTCGACTTGGTGCTTCCCATGGGAAGACCCAAATAAGTGAAGGGCAGCGGCCCCACAATGCAACCAAAATGATCTGCCAACAGCCTAGCTTGATTTGGGTCCACATTTATCGGTACCATACATGATTTGTTGAAGTTTACTTTCAAACCTGTGGCTTCCTAAATACCAATAGAATATACTTTATAGCGCACAGCTGAAAAAACGAAGCTTCATGTACTATAACGTGTCGTCCGCATACTGAACCACCGGAAACTCATGTCCAGGAAAGTGATGGGAGCAACAACGAAAAGTAATGGAGATAACGGATCCCCCCTGCCTAACACCACGTATGCAAGCACTTTTTTTACCAGGAACTCTGTTTAACATAACAACAGAAGAGGCCGAAGAGAAAATGAATTTAATCCAACCGAGAGAACAATCGCCTCCTTGCCATAGCTCTTGCAATGAAATAAATACTCAAACGACCAAGCAAGACTGTCGTGATCACCATTGCTTCACATGGTGGAGGTTGCCACCACTGCAGCCCTCCAGTGTTGAGCCTCGCCGACGGTGAGATCTTAGAGCCCACGTGGCCTCCTCCTTCGTCCTCCTCCGGTTCATCGACCACACGGGGAACTGATCATCAACATACGGGGGTGCCGTTCGGTGTCACCTCTGTGAGGAAGTGAGGAGATAAATACAACCGCGCTCAATGAATTTATCCTCGATGCACACTATCACTGCACTTCAAAATACGCCCGGTACGGTCACTATGTATGATTTGACGCGCATGTAAATGTCGCCTATGAGCCCGGTATGACCCTCTGTTGCCCGCCACGTATGCAAAAGCGCATGGGAGGCTCTGATATTTTGCAAAAAAAGCCCTCTCGGGCTCACTGACAACGCACATTTGGCTTCGCTTATATGCAGGGTTTGCAGGATTGGGGGTTAGAGTTTATGGTGGTTTGAGGAAATGATGTTTGCTTCAATTTTGATGCATGTGTTCGTCAACAAGACCTCGCAACAATGAGTTCTCTGTGCAATTCAACCATGGTGATTATTTTCTTGGTGAAGGCAACAACCATTCTTATGTTAATGGCAGAGTTGATTCTTATGATTACCTATATAACATCACCTGGTCTTAGATTATGGTACATAACATTGTTGAGGAGATTGGATGGGAGATGGCAAGCAGGGTCAATGTATACCGTTGTGTGCCTATATTTACAATTGGCAGGAACAGCCTGAAGGAAATTAGGAGCGAGGAAGATATAGATACTATGATGCATTTCCTGTCATTTGGACACCAATCATTCAAATTGTACTTGGATCATGATGATAGCTTCCATGCCCACCTTAATGTGTATGATGTTGTTCTTAATCCAAGAGCAACCCTTCCTACAGTGATGAGCCCATCTAAGCTAGTGATGTACATACAAGCAGAGCAAAGAGAAGCAGAGCAAGTGGCACATGTACCTATACAGATTGTGTATCCAGAAGTGGATAGGAACTACCTAGTTTATATTTAGTAGAAGGTCATCCACATTTGCTAACATTGAGGCACCTGAGGAACATCAAAACTGAACCGGAGCCCGTTGTACTACAGGTTATTCAGCAAATGCCTAGTGAGCACATTGAGGAAGAGAATGCATGCATCACAAGACTAAGAAGGAGTGCAATGCAAAGCAATTTCAAAATCACATGGAAACAGAGGATGCAGAAATGGATAGTGATTCAGATGATGAGGACTATGAGCCTGATGTACTTATTGATAGTGACAATGACATAGGTCATGAGATGATGATCTTTATGTAGAAAATGTAGATGAGGATGAACCTGAGCAGAAGAAGGTGAATTAACCAATCTCCAAACCAACTGACAAAGGAAAGAACAAAGCAGAAGATAAAGGACAAGTCAAAAGACAAGATAAAAGGCAAAAAATTACAATTTTGATGAAGATTTGTCTGAAGAGGAAGATCTGTGGCATGTGATTTAGATGATTAAGAGATATAGTTTAAGTTCAAAACATTCAGACCAGAGGATCTCTGCAGGCCAAGATTCCATGTTGGACAAGTCTTTGAGATGTGGAGCTATTGAGGAAAGCAATCAAAGAGCATTCTTGTCAACATGTTGATTTGAAGATGCAAGTGAATGACATGTTAAGGTTGAAAGCAAAGTGTGATGAGGATTGCACTTGGTACTTGTAGGATCCATATGATAGTAGGACAAAGGCTTTCATGATCAAGATATATGCGGATGAGCACACTTGCTACAAGAACTGGAAGATCAAGGCCTTCACAGCTCCTTTACTTGCACATAAATATTTGGAGAGCTTTAGGGCAGACCAAGACATGAACCTTATGAAAATTTCAAGGATTTTTCAAAAAGAATGGCACATGACACGTGGAAGGATGAAGTTGCAGAGGGCAAGGAGGTTGGCCATGAAAATGATTCATGGTGATGAAGAAGGGCAGTGTAAGCAACTTTGGAATTGCTTTGTCTTGAGGTTTCTGTTGGGCCTGCCTGAAAAGCATTTCTATGCAATCCTAAGAATTTCTCTCCACCAATTCTACCTGGTAGTCTTCCTACGATTATTCCGGGCGTAATATATATTTTTGAACTATGGATGAACAACACTTGGCTCAAGGGGCACTAGAATATGTGCATGCTATTAATGGATTATTTGTACTATTTTCTATTCGTTATATTTTGAGCGCTCTCCGCATAGGAAAAATATACCTAGACGAACGTTTGGTGCACATGATTGGGGTCACCGGCGTCCACAAACGTATCCGGCGCGTGTTTTTAAGAATTTTTTATAGGCGAAAAAAAAAACCTTTACAGTCACGGGTCCAAAGTGGAAACGGAGAGCGAGCCGGTTGCGGAGTTCTCTTTCTTCCGTGCCAAGGCTGCAAACCGATCACAATTCATAAAATCACCAAGACAAGACAGACAGAGTTCCGTTTCGAAAACAAGACAGACAGAGAGACGGACTGCCGGGCCGGGCCGGGCCGGGCCTATATACACTGGATTGTGAAGAAGAAGAAGCCGACGAAGAAGAAGCGGATCGATCGAGTCGGCGAGAGCGATGGCGGCGCTCCGGCACGCGGCGAAGAGGCTCTGCGAGCGTGCGCTCCAGCAGCGAGGAGCGCTGGTGAGGCCTTCGGTCGTGGCGGAGGGACCTCGGCGGCTCTTGCTAAACGGCGCTTCCCCTGCCCGCCGGCCCATGTCCACCTCCTCCATCAGTGGCAAGGTACTTCTTTTCTCCGACCTTCGACCCCTCTCCCTCCCAGATCCAGCCGATTTGCCGTCGGAGGCCTCCGAGGGTACGGCTGCCCTCTCAAGCAGTAGCGGCGTTGGCTTTGTTTCCGGCCACCTGATGACCTGCGACAAAGAATTTTTTTTAAAAAAATCTTTGATTGCCGGCGATCAGGAGTCACTTGCAGCCATTGATTGATTGCTCTTGAGATCCGGCAATCGGTTGCTGGCTGGAGATTAAGACCTCAACCTTGTGACAAATTAAGAATGATGATAGCCTCTACCATGTCATAAGGCCATGTATAATTTTCTTTCAGCAGACCACTAATATATGACAGATACATTCTGTGAAGAAAACTATGCTAATTAATATTAATTTAATCATGTTGTGTCTCTTGTGGCCAGCCGACATCTAGTGCAGCGCCTCACGGCGAGCTGGAATTGCTGGAAATGCGATTCAATAAGAAGAAAGAAGAGATGTATGATTTGCTTGTAGCGGTGAAAAGCTCTGAACTTTACCCAGAGTTGTCCTGGGAAGACATCCAAACTCATCGGCTCATCACTCACCTTGCTGCTCAAGTGAAGCCTAGGCCTCATGACCCAATTTGGTATGTAATCTCAAACATATGCATGACTATGCTCTATTTTCCCCATTTCTTGTCTGAGAGCCTTTTCTGCTCTTGTCACCCCGCAGGCGCAGGTTTCGACAACTAAGAAGACTCAACGATTTTAACACTATATGTCTTCCTCTGGGATATTTTGGTCTGCTCGCCTACTGCGTGGCAACTAACATGAAAGAAGATGGCGCTACAAGCAAGAATAGTGAAGCCAATTTCGTCTCCGAGCCAAAGAACGATATGAACTAGCTTTATATTAGAAGTCTAGAAAGTCTCCTGAGCTTATGTAATTAGTAATATGACATCTAGTTGTAGTTGTAGGTTTTGCTGGATGCTGGCAACGGTAATAGAATCGGCCTGAAGTTGGAGTGGTAATTAACTTTTATGTGACGAAAGAGAACAGAAAATCCAGCGATATCTTTAGGTAACTTGTCATGTTTATTTCTTGTGAGCAGAAAACTTCAGGTTGGTCCTCTTGAGTATATATTGTCATGCCTGCTTATATGGAAACATGTGAGCTTTGTTCAAATGTTGAAACATTCTGAAATTTGATTTCTCTGCTTGTTGTATCATCCTAAATCCCTTCTGTATCTTAGTTATTACGTGGAATAAAACTTTTCCATCACAAGAACATATGAACTCTAAATTTTAGGTTATCTTCCATGTAATTGGCTATAGGTCAAATATCATCGAATTCCTGCAGCAGCTCAACCACGCCATGCCGGCAATGCCGTTGTTTCTGCAGTTGCGGCGACTCCATCTTTGTGTGAGAAGTCTGGTGCCTTGCATAGCCTGATGAACAATTTTTGTGAGCATGTATCCTTCACGTAGTCCTCCGGACCGATGTTGCTCGGGATGAAACATCACAACCACACATTAACTTTGGACAAGAACATAACTTCCAAAATGAAACCCAGCTGAAATAAAGAATTCCGCCATCTTTTTGGCAGTAGGAGTCTTGCAAAACCCTTGACTTCCAAGTGTTCAAACAAATACAGGAATCACAAGAACAAATATAGGTTGCAGGAAAAGAAACTAAAACAAAACACTGCCACTATGCATGTATTTCCTTCAGGCTTCAGAAGTGCATCAACATAGCTATCAAGTAGAGGGTGTTAACTTCACTTGGGCTGTGTTCGGTTGAGAGGGATTCGAAGGGGGTTTGGCAGGGATTGAAGTGGATTTAATCCCCTGCAAGTCAAAACCTCCCCAAATCCCCTCCAATCCTCTTGTGGAGGGGTGTAACCGAACAAGGCCTTCAGGGGATTTCTACAAGCTCTGTAGGGATTTTCATCAGCGCACTGTTGATTTGTCGAGTATTTATTCTTGGATAATCACTTTAATCCCAAAAAAATGCAAGTCCGGAGTCGCCAAACTATTACAGGCCAATCTCATTGTTAAATTCTTGTCTGAAGCTTTTAACCAAGCTGCCAGCGGATAGACACCAGGGGAGGATTTTGGAATTAGTGCATGGGCATCAGTATGGATTTATAAAATCTTTGAACGAGACAAGATTGTAAGTAGGGGTAACATGGGGGCATGCCACGTCACGTCACGTCAGCTTGTAGCACCGCCGCTCTCCGCCATCCGCCACCTCTTCTCTGAGCGTCCTCCCTCTCCGACGCCCACTATCGTCTTCCTTTGCGGGAGGGCAAGTGCGCTAACACCATGATCATGCATAAAAGCTCTAGCGCGGGGAAAGGTCAGGCGCTACGGCAGATCGAGTTGGGGAAGAGGCGACGATGGGGGATGAGAAAAATAAGGAAGAGTCCACATTATTCCGGATTCTGGAGTGATCACTAATCAGCCCGAAATTAGGCTTCATTGATGATTTATGTTAGTCTTCAGTATTGCTATCTGAACTTTTATTTGTTTGTTTTCCCTTGTCTGGTCGTTTTTGTTTGAGATCTTTTGTGGGAATTAGTCAGATGGGAGGGAGTACGCGCTCAAGCTTGAATTAGCTTGACATGAGATGAGAGTCACACATGTTAAGTGTTCCGTCATACTCCTCCTATTCAACTTAGCAACCAGAACATCACCTTTACTCACAAGCAGCGACAACACGATATGACTTGCAGTGTCACTAACATTTCAAGTACACACTGAGTTTACAGTCTCTTCAAGAAAAGCAATGATATACACTACCGATCCGACAAACCCATACCTTTACCATTGCCAACACCTAAGCAATGGCAAATGCTAGAACCCATAGGAAAACGGTCATAATTCTGAAAGGCCTGCATGAATTAAGGTTCTGATACCAACCGAGGACTTCCAAGAAGCTTTATCAGAGGTCTCCATGCATTAGGTTAGTTATTATTAAGTACTCCCTCCGTCCCATAATGTAAGACGTTTTTTGACACTTTGTCAAAAAACGTCCTATATTATGAGACGGAGGGAGTAGATGCCAAATGGTGAACCAAGGGAGAAAGCATTTCAACAGGTCTTACCCCTTATTTAAAATTAAAAAATCACAAAAGGCTGAAGCTTTATCAGAAATTTCACTGCAGAAATATGTTTATCTGCAGAAAGACATTGATGTAGCAAAAGCTAGGCTTCAGAGATGAGCTTATCATGAAGGGGCCGACGACAAATAACTTATAGTATGAAATATAATGTGCGGTCCTTTGAGTTCCTGTTATGTATACAGTCGGAGAACAAAATTCAGTACGAGTTCCTGTTATGTATACAGATCTGTCAGATTATGGAGGCCGAAACATTCAACGTTGGGACTTGACAATACAGAGAGTCTGAGACTGCTGCAGAAAGGTCCGTTAGAAATATGCAAAACATGCAAGAGCGATCCAATTCTCTCATCCGACACTGAAAAATGCAGAAACTGCAAGATGACCTCCTTGCACTTATGTTCTGAACTTCAGGTACGTCCTACATTGTCTTGTTTGAATCACAACAATAATTATCTTGTCAAGATTTGACATGAATATCAATAGAAACCAATAGGTGGATGATGAAAAAATTAACATATATATTTGCTCCATCTGTTATTTCTGATCGCAATTAAAAATTATTGTTCATCTAGCTTGTCAGATTAAGACAAATATTAAACTCAAACAGGAAATAAATATTTACTTGGAATGTAGTGCATAATTAGTGATAGAGCAAAACAACATTCAGATAGAATATAGACACCATGATCATGTATCATTTGGCCCTTATGTACGTAGGCATACTAAACTTTTATCTTTCAGATGTGTCTATCGGCATGCTGCCAACGAACTCCAACATGTCATTAGCAAAAACAGGTCCTCTATGCAGTTTCATTAAATTGACAATGGAATGTCTGGTTGCACTATCACCCTCAATGACAATACCTTAGTTTCACAAATTAATCACCAGTCCAATCCTCCATCCTTGCTTCGTAGAACGCAACTCAGAGCAGCAAAAAAAAAATACTAGTCACTCATCAAGTATGTCATGTATAGGGAAAAATGGATGAATATGGGCTATTAGCACGACAGAGATCAAGTAATCAAAAGTTCAGGCTCTATTTACATACTTGCCAAAGCAATGTCTCTGCTCTTACCAGTGCAGAACTGCACATGGGAACTCAAGTTTAAAATCAGAGGCTCCAGATCAGCAGAAACTGACAAATTAATCATTCTCAGACACATGATTGCTAGCTAGATGTACACTGCAGCTATGCTGGCTTTAGGTAAGACCAGAGCGATGAAAAAACAAAATGCTCTCTAGGGTTTTGAGAACAAAATGCAAGAAAACATAGCATCAAAGACAGCTCCGTCTGGCTTTAGCTATGTTGTCTGAAAAAATGCTACTTGTTCCAACTACTACAGTTTGGTTAGTTATAGTTTGAAAACGATAAAAATAAAACTCAACATAGTTTAATCTATACATGACATCTTTCCTAGAAATGTCAGCTATTCAATGCCTATTGACTTGGACTATCTGATATTTAGAAAAAGGTCACATGGTAGCATAATTCAGAAACATACTAATTTGTGAAATGACCATTCCCATAGATATGTAGTATTCACTGTTGTTTATCAGAACAGGCAACTATACAACTTCCAATCTTCCATTGACCCAAAATAAGAGAGAAAAGATTAGTAGAACTTGCTGGTTGAGTAATTAACATCAGTGTTTTGCAGTGAGTGGATCAAGGTTTGCACTAAAGTATATTTGTTTCTTGCAGGAAAAAAATTGTGAAATATTGCTATAATCTTTATAATGCTCCATTTGAATGATCAGGTACGCGTTACTCTTCGCAGAGAACAAATACGACATACGACAAATGATACATGGAGCTTTCTATGCAGCTTACTTTTGACAAAAGAAAGAGAGAAGATTTTGACTATTTACTGAAAATCAGATAAGTTCAAAGGCACTATAACTAGTCATTTTATAAAGGATGTGTTCAAGAGGTAAATGGGAATTAGTGTGTTGTTTGCTGCCAGTCACTGAAACTATTTCAAACACAGCAGAATAACTTGATTCAAACAGGAATGTGGAGGAAATGCATATAACCCAAAGGACAATTACCTGAAATAATGTGTAGATCAGGGCCCGAAGTGGTATCTTAACCCAAGCACGATCAATCCAATCTACCGGCAGAAACCCATCCTTGTACAACATCAAAAAGATATACATATTGATGAGGAAAGCTCAAGGATGGCAATTTTACCCACGGGTACGGGTAACCACGGGTACCGTACCCGCGTGGGCAGGGTATGGGCACACTTTTATACCCATGGGTAGTACCCATACCCTATCCGTTAAGTCATGGGTAAGGTACGGGTATAACTTTATACCCACGGGTATACCCATACCCTGCCCGCTTGTGAAATAATGTGAGTGTTCATCAATTAATCATTAATTTGTCATGTGACTTGTCTATTCCTATTGACTTATGAGTATGTTGTACTCATCTACCTGTTATTGAGTTAAGATAATTGTTTTTTTGTCAAATGTGCTATCAATGAGTGTAAAAATATGAACAACTCGTGTACTATTTGTTCTATCCGATGGGTACCCAATGGGTACAGGTATCCGTCAGGTATGGGTATGGGTATTCATACCCATGGATACGGGTATGGGTAGAATTTTGTACCCTGACTATACGGGTATGGGTATGGTATTGCTCTACCCTGCCTATACCCTACCCATTGCCATCCTTAGGAAAGCATTTGTTAACTGAGTTGGAGAAGTTTCGTTTATTCAACTTCCACCTGCATTTTGATTAGTATCAATTTTGTCAACGGACCACAACACTC